GCAAACATCAAAAGAAGATGATAGGAATACACAGAGTCACAGTACCAAAAAGAATTGGTTGACAGTCAACCATTTCCAGAGGTTGCATATGATCAAGAACCCAGGGTACTGAACAAAGAAGTCCAAGCTGCACTGAAGGCACTGGCGAAAAACAAGGCTTCAGGAATTGACAGAATACCAACTGAGATGTTTCAGCAAACAGATACAGCACTACAGGTGCTCACCCCTCTATGCCAAGAAATTTGGAAGACAGCTACCCAGCCAACTGACTGGAAGAGATCCATATTTGTGCATATTCCAAAGAAAGGTGATCCAATAGAATACAGAAATTATTGAACAATATCATTAATAACACACACAACTAAAATTTTGCTGAAGATAATTAAAAACCAGTTGCAGCTGTACATCAACAGGGAACCACCAGAAGCTCAAGCAGGATTCAGAAGAGGACGTGGAACAAGGGGTATCACTGCTGATGTCAGATGGATCTTGGCTGAAATCAGAGAATACCAGAAAGATGCTGACGTGTGTTTTATTGACTATGCAAAGGCATTTCACTGTGTGGATCATAACAAATTATGCATAGCATTGTGAATAATGGAAATTCCAGAACACTTAATTGTGCCCATGTGGAATCTGTACATAGACTAAGAGGCAGTTGTTCAAACAGAACAAGGAGGTACCGCATGGTTTAAAGTCAGGAAAGGTATGCATCAAGGTTATATTTTTTTCACCAGACTTACTCAATCTGTATGCTGAGCAAATAATCCAAGAGAAGCTGGACTATATGAAGAAGAACAGGGCATCAGGATTGGAGGATTGGAGACTCATTAACAACCTGCCATGCAGATGGCACAACCTTGCCTGTTGAAAGTGAAGAGGACTTGAAGCACTTACTAATGAAGATAAAAGACTACAGCCTTCAAGTATGGATTATACCTCAATATAAAGAAAACAGAAACCCTGGCGGCATAGTGGTTAAGTGCTATGGCTGCTAACCAAAAGGTCAGCAGTTCAAATCCACCCGGCTCTCCTTGAAAACTCTATGGGGCAGTTCTACTCTGTCCTATAGGGTTGCTATGAGTTACAATTGGCTCAATGGCTATGGGTTTGGTTTGGTTTTGGTTTTATAAAGAAAAAAATAATCCTCACAACTGGACTAATAAACAACTAATAAACGATAAATGGAGAAAAGATTGAAGTTGTCAAGAACTTCATTTTACTTGGATCCACAATCAACCACCCATGGAAGCAGCTGCAAAAGACCTCTTTCAAGTGTTAAAAAGCACACATAGCATTTTGAGGACTAAGGTGGACCTGTCTCAAGTCATGGTGTTTTCAATTGCCTCATATGTATGTGAAAGCTGGACAGTGAATAAGGAAAACCGAAGAAGAAGTGATACATTTGAATTATGGTGCTGGTGAAGAATATTGCATATACCCTGAACTGCCAGAAGAACGAACAAATCTTTCTTGGAAGAAGAACAGCCAGAATGCTCTTTAGCAGCAAGGATGGAGAGACTTCATACCACCTACTTTGGACACGTTATCAGGAGGGACCAGTCCCTGGAGAAGGAGATCATGCTTGTAAAGTGGAGGGTCAGCGAAAAAGAGGAGAACCTTCAACAAGATGGATTGACACAGGGGCTACAACAATGAGCTCAAGCATAGCAAAAATTGTGAGGATGGCATAACATGGGACAGTGTTTCGTTCTTTGGTACATAGGGTCACTATGAGTTGGAACCAACCTGATGTCACCTAACTACAACAGCTTCATATTTTCAGGAATTTAATTAGTGTGGAAAGTAAAAAGATAAGCTTCGTCTTCTTTATTAATGATGGCAGTGGCAAATTCAGTGCTACTTGTGTGTCAGTCTTAAGATATCTTCGACACCAATAACAATTAAATTTAGCAAACATCCATCCATCCAACAAACTCCTGCTATATTATGAACTTCAGGTGGGATGAGGGTTTATAAGACGAAAAAGGCTTGTCTCCTACTCTTTTGGAACATAAAATGTTTTTTCTTTTATAGCTAAGTTTAATACAAATTAATCAGTGCTCTGTTAGTGTTTGGTGTGAAGTGGAATGATTGATTCTACTGGAAAGGGAAATAAGTAGGGAAATTTCCAGACAAGGTAGTAATTGAACTGAGCCTTGAAGGATGAACAGGATTATTTCAGTGGAATTTAAGGGGACGAAGTGTAAGGATAACAGTCTCTGTGTTAATTTGCATGAAAGACAGAGGTCAACTCATTGGATACCAAAAAACTTCACAAGGTGAGAGTTATTTTCTTCTGTGGGCCAGTTGGCTTAATAACTTAATTTTGTATACACAAAGAGAAGAAAGACTCGTGTTAATAATGTTCACAGATAGATAGCAAGAATGCCACTTATTATTTTGCTATAAATATACTTGTGTTGTGGACCAGAATGCTTAAGCATAGCAGTGGAATAGGGGAACATATTACTATAAGCAAATTAGTTGAATGGTGGCCACTGAAGATCTTTTATGGCTTTACCCACAATCTAGATTAGATGTCCCTATTCAACTCTCTTTTATCATCCAATAGTTTTGTGTACAATATTAGTTAAAAAAATTTTTATTTAGTGTCTATTTCTTCACTAAATCATCAGACTTTTGAGGATAGGGACATATCTTTGCTTTTGTTCCATTTCTTTTCTGCAGTGTTTCCCTAGTGTTTCTCATCACTTTTTATATAGATTAGGTAGGTTTCAATATATCTGTAGAATGGAATGAATAGATGGATATCTTCCTGGTTATTCCCAAAGTTGGCTAATAATTTTCATTGAATGTATGGATTTGACTCTCACATAGCAATCTCATATTCCTCATGTACAAGCTGTTGAGAGACAAGTCACTTTTACCATACCCACCACTATCACCTTCATCTAGTTAGAGTACAGGATAGATAAATTGGAAGTAAAAGAAAAAAGAAGAGACTACAACTACATAGAAAAGAAGGGAAAAATATCATAAAACCTCAGAGTTTTTTTTTCCTGCTTTTTGAACCATGGATTTTTTGACAAATAAGTAATTCTGTGTTAATTTGGATAGTTTTCTGGCTGTTAATTTTGCTGAGTTGTTTATTGCTAAAATTAGATTATTGTTCTCAGTCTACATTTTTAAAAGATGTTAACAATTAACAGCAAACAGTATGAAAATCATTGCCTGGAAGTAAAGCAAATGGTGCAGTTGGACTTTAAGAGGCTGCTAGAATATTGCTCGGTTTCAGCTGAGTTCCACAAGTATTCATCCTCCTGCCTGATCTTCTTTGTTCATGAAGAGGTCCAGCAAAGACAGATCTTCAGATCTAATTGATTCGACAGACTGAGGCAGCCTCTGAAGGCAGGGTCTCTCTCACCTAAGAGATAGAAATTCTTGGAGTTAGTAAGCCAGTGATGGAAATATTTTTGGAGGAAATATAAAGATTAAGGGAGGACAGCAAATCTGAAGTTGAATTCTCCATGTACGAGTCTATGTGAACATTGAGATTGTAGATATGGGACCAGATGGATGTGGGCATGGAAGTCACAGAACCACAGAATGGGGAGGTGGTCTGCGTGGATTCCAGAGAAGGAGCTACATACCCTTACAGAAGCTTTTATTCACTACAAGTATGCAGACAAGCCAGCCTCATTTAAAATGACTGGAAAGAGGCAAACATATCCCCATATATTTAAACCTGACCAGAAATTTTTATTTTAAACCTATAGAAATTTTATTCTTCTAAACATAAGAATTTTATAAAAGAATTAGGAAAGTGAGTTCAGTGTTTGATTAAAGATAAAAATAGAAGATTTGTGTTTGAAAACAATATATAGTGAATGAGCATATGTTAACGTTTAAAGATACTTATTGATTCTTGGGGAATTTATATAAAATTTGGACCTTCTTCATTACAGTGATATCAGATATTTGAATTTACAATGCAAATTTGTAATCTAACCTAATTTAAGATTTTTTCCTCTAAATTTCAACATATGCATCACATTATTTGGTATGTCTTTAATTTTAAATTTACAAACAAATGGTTATCAAGCAGTGGTGTTTTGAGGTTTAGGGAGGAAATATTTGAACACATTTGATGTTAAAAATGATCTTATATTCATTAAAATGTAAACATACTATGTTTTTGGTTTGTTATAAACTTTGCCTTTTTAAAGAACAAAAACACACTCTAGGTTATTCTCCGTCTTTTCAATTTTGGTCTTAACTTGTTTGGAAATAAATAAGGAAATAGTGACTACTTAACAGCAGTCAGCTTGCCTAAAATCTACAGCCTTGGAAACCCCATGGGGTACTTCTACTCTGTCCTGTGGGGTTGCTCTGAGTCAGATTCCGCTGGATAACAAAGGGTTTGGCTTTTGGGGTTTAGTGACTATTTAAACACAAAGAGCTGTTCCAGAGACACGCATGCTAGTATACATATAATTTAGGATCGGTTAACTTACGCATTATTTAAACATGCTTCCTGGTTTCAAACTCCTGGCTCTGATAACTGTACATTTACGTTTCAGATATCGGATTCTAAGTGAGCAATGCCTTTTTTCCTTTTTAGTCTTTAATTCCACCTTAAGATATTTGCAAAGAAAAAGGAGACCCGCCCACATTTTAGCCCCTCCCGCCAAAGATACGACTTTCTTCAACTGGTCTGTAGTGCCGGACTGAAAAAGATCCTGACTGAAAGCTAAAGGGATAGAGGAGCCTGAAGAATCCCATGTAACTCTGAGAACTGTAAGCAATATATTTATATTTACTCTTCCCCTGATCAACTCCCTCCACGCTTCCGCCCTCTTACTATTTGTTTGTAGTTTACTTGGGAGAAACAAAGGATAGAGAGGAAACTTAATGTTCACTGCTTTAAAATTTCCACAAGTCCTCTGCCTTTTCAAATGAGACATAGATCAAGGACCTGAATTTCCTTCTAACAAATGCCAGTTTGCTCTCTGGGGTCTAAATGCTGTGGTATCCAATGATAAGGTGTTTCTTTCAGCTGCCTCCCCGAAAACTTTCAAAACGGCTTTGAGGTGGCGCTTATTAGTGTTCCACGTGATGGTCACCCAATGGTTACTGATCCCCAAACTTAGGCAGTGCGCTGTTTGACAGCGCTAAGCATGTTTAGCGACAGACTATATTGTCTCACTTACGTTTCATTTAAAAACAAGTAGGCTTTTTGGTTACTTATGCAAAGCATTGCTAAGTATTTAATATGTTGTAGTGTTGCGCGAAAAGATAATACCAATTAATTGTAAAACGACTGGTATTCTGATTCGCCTTCTCCTAAGTTATTTGACATGCCAGAACAGAGCTCAAAAGTAGCTGTTTGAAAAGATTTGATTAAATAATAAAGTTAAACCTTTGTGAACAGTGAACACTATTTTAGTAATTTTGTCTCAGAAAAAGCAGAAGTGGTTTGAGTTTTGAAATAATGATAGCTTAAGGTATCTAAATCCTCCTACAACTTTAAGCTATTTCAGTCTTAAAATAATTATTTTCACCTCAAAAACTAGAACATGAAATGCTGCTCAAACTGGCTGATGACGTAAGCGTTTATTCAGCTAGGGCAGACGGAGAGTATTAAAACATACCTTTGGATGTGTGTCATGTCTAAAGTTACGATATTTGCAAATGCAAATCTTTAGGTTCTAGGGGGACTTGTGCTTTGTTCTGGTTCTGTTTGTTGCATGTATTTGGAAAGAGACATTTGCAAGGAATTCTAGTGAAATAAACCCTGCTGGGAGTTTCAAAATTACATCTCAGAAGTCCTTAAAACTGACCAATCAAATCTGATGTCAGGATTAAAACCTGGCATTTGCTCTTTCACTGAGTAGAGGAAGAGTCTAATTTTAAGTTAAGCAATCGTTGTGAAATCCCTAGAGAAGTGTTTAATGTGCTCAAAGCATCTTCACAAACTTCCTGTAGGGGAAACCCTTTTTATGGGAGAAGATACTGCTTCTTATTAACGTAAGTCACTTTAAAGTATTTTGCATTATGTTCAATTAGGAAAACAAAAATTGTTAACTAGATTTTTTTTTTAGCTCTTGATACAGTTCATTTCATAGAGAGAATTTGGCCTGTGTTGTTAACCCAGCAGTCTTAATTCCTAGTGACCCTGGTTAGAAAGCAAAGTCCTAAAATGGAATTGTTTGCATATTGAAAAATACATTCCAGGAATAAAAAAGAGGAAGACAGAATTAGTTGCGGTTTCTTTTCCTCTTGTATGCCTTTTATTTACTATCAGTTTTTCTTCCTCCTTCTTGCTTGTAGATTTTATAGCTTTAGTTATAAATTTTTAAATTTTTTATCACAGACTCCTTTAAAAACTATATGAAAGCTAGGTACCTCTCCCCAGAATGATGCACATATGCACATATACTCCTACAATACACAAAACTTTGCAAACACTTTTAGGAAGTTCAGAAACCTCGAAGACAATCAATGTCAAATGAAAATGCAGTATTTCTTAGAACTTTGAAGTTTTCTAATAATATGAAATCGTTAATTAGTGAATTGTTTAACTTATAACTAAGGAACTGCCTGGCAGTGGATATTGCTGTGCCCATATTGTTACTTGGAGCCCTGGTGGCAAAGTGGTTAAGAGCTCAGCAGCTAACCAAAGGATCAGCAGTTCAAATCCACCAGCTGCTCCTTGGAAACCCTATGGGGCAGTTCTACTCTGTTCTATGTAACGTCGCTATGAGTCGGAATTGAATCGACCAGACAGCAACGGTTTTATTTTTCTTTATTATTACTTAATCATTGGTGTTCTAAACTTTCAAGCTGTTTTATAGAATGGGAAAAAAACAAAAAAACAAAAAACGTTGCCTAGAAACCAAGTGACCTAGATTCAAAACTCAATCACAATAATAATCCCCAATAATAATATTAGGCTTGTCATTTTTTCTGTAACATCTGGTAATTTTTATTGTTGAGTGCAATAACTGAAACATAATAGGAAAATAAGCTGCAAGTTCTTATAAATTATTATGAGGGGTTTATATTCACTGTTTTTATTCAAAATTTCCTAACAATATTTCCCAGTATAATTATGTTTTTTTTTTTTAATAATATTTTATTGTCTTTTTGGTAAAAGTTTACACAGCAAGTTAGGTTCCCATTTGACAATTTTCAGAAAACTTGTTCAGTGACATTAGTTACATTTTTCACAACGTGTCAACGGTCTTTTTAATTGTGTTCTGGTTTTCTGTTTCCAGTACTCTAGTTTCCCTGGCCCCTTATCTTCTCATCTTTGCTTTAGTGTAAATGTTGACCTTTTGGTCTCCTACAGTTGGTTTTTTAGTAGAGCACTGTTCTTATAAGTAATATGTTTTATTTTGTGCCCCACTCTGCTATTTCGCTAAAAGGTGATCTCAGGGGATAGTTTTGGTTCGGCCTTTAAAGTGTCTCAGGGCGATAGTCTCAGGGAGTCCTCTGGTGTCAACTGGTCCAGTTAGTCTAGCCTTTTTAAAGTATTTGATTTTTGTTGTACATTTTTCTCCCATTCTACCCAGGACCATCTATTGTGACCTGGTCAGAACAGTCACCGGTGATAGCCAGGCACCGTCTAGTTCTGATCTCAGGGTAGATGAGGCCATGGCTTGAGTAGTCTATCAGCCCAGTAGATTTGTTTCTATAATTAAGTTTTTTATAATATTTTGATAATTACAAAGAATTCATGTTCACTGTTTAATTTTTTTTAATATAGAAAAGTATAAGGAAAAGGAAAAAAACCCTATAATTGCCCTAAAGTTAACTGCTTTTAAAGTGTCATTCATTCATTTATTCACTCAACAAATATTTATTGTGCATATAGCATGCATCAGCACTGTTGTTAAGTGCATATGATATTCCAGAGACAGACAAGGAATTCATGTATATGTTTATACTTCTTGACATTTTTCTATACATACACTCACAGGTAGATTTTACAAAATGGTGATCATAATTTTCATGTAGTCTTATAACATACTCCCTCCTAAATCATGAAGTTTTCTGTTAAAGCATGATTTTTTATCATTGTGCATTATTTTGTATTCACTCATATCTTAAACAAATATTATTGAGTCCCTCCTATGTGCCAGACACTGTGCAAGTATTGGCCGTCTATCCATAAGCAAGAGAGGTGTGGTTCTCACCAGGATGTAATTTTTAGTCTGGTGGATATGTTGTGTTATCCACTACTAAATCGTTGCTTAATTAGGTTGATTACAGTTTTCAACTATTATACATAATGCTTCTTCTAGGAATTCTTACTTAAATATTTTACAACAAATACTTTATATTAAATACAAAAAAAAAAAAAAAAAAAAAGAAAACACCAAACCAAACCTCTTGCTGTCAAGTTGATTCTGACTCCTAACTACCCTATAGAACAGAGTATAACAGCCCCATTGGGTTTCCAAGGAACAGCTGGTGGATTGAACTGCCAGCCTTTTGGTTAGCAGCCAAATGCTTAAACACTGTGTCACCAGGGCTCCTTACATTAAATGCTTTATTTACCTTGCTTAAAAGCTTGTACACGCTGGAAGTTCTAGCTAGAGAAATAAGGCAAGAAAAAGAAATAAAGAGCATACAAATTGGTAATGAAGAAGTTAAACTGTCCCTGTTTGCATATGATATGGTACTATACATAGAAAACTCTAAAAACCCCATGAGAAATCTGCTGGAACTAATAGAAAGATTCAGCAGAGTAGCAGGATACAAGATAAACATACAAAAATCAGTTGGATTCCTATACACCAA